AAATGGACGACAGTGTATATAACTAAAGCAAAAGAGAGAGAGAGAGAGAGAGAGAAAGAGAGAAGTCGGAGGAAGATGGCCGTTCTAACGGAAATAATCCGTCGACGATAATCTCATGATCGTAAGACGATCGTTTATCTTATCACGAATAAATTGGCTCCTCTCATCAGGAAATATGTTATCCAAAATGTGATTCTTTACGGATCGTGCTCGGTCTCCATGTCGGACTCGAGCAACTCTTCTTAATCGAAAATCATTGGACTCTAATAAAATTCGATCACCCTGAAGTATCTTCTTTCTCGCCCTTTTCTTTCTCTCTTTCTTCTCTTTTTCTTTTCTTCTCCTTCTTTTTTCTCTCTTTTTTTTTTTTTTCTTTTTACTTTAATACCAAAAAGATATCAATTTTGTTTTTTAAACCACCAAAACACAAACGTTCTCCGTCCTTATATCTTTTACGAATAATCTTATTTATCATCTGAAAATATTATAATAAGATCCTTCGCATTGATTTATCAGCTTTGCCATTTTTGTATTTTTAATTGATTTATATATTACATATATGAGTATTCGTATAATATTTAGAATGTTAATAATTAACGTAAATAAAGAAAAGATTGACAATGGTTAGTTGTTTGGTAATATCACTTTTAAATATTTAATAACATTTCTATTAAGTTATTTATTATAATATTGAAATATAAATATGATAATATTAATAACAATAAAAATTAACGATAGATAATTCTTGATTGCGTTATTTTTAAATTTAATTTAATGATATATATGTACATTGAAAAATGAACGATAGATCATTCTTGGATTCGCCATATTGAATTTAATACATTGACAATACGTATTAAGATATCTATAATAATAATTACAATAACAAAACAAATAATTTCTTTTCAAATAATCTTATAATAATTATATATCTGATAGAATTGTAAAATAATCGTGATAAATGATTTATAACCGTTAAATCTCGATCGCATAATATAGCTTTTTCTTTTTTTTTTTTAACAGTTCAATTGCGTATTTAGAAAATCTCATGCCAGTGAACATCACCCCTCTCCCTCTCTTCTTTCTTTCTCTGTGAAGATATCATGCGGGTACTCTTGATGTGTTAAGTACTTGATTTATCGTTTCGTAAAGATAAATCGTTTATATCTCGGTCGATAATGCAGTGACTTTTAAAGACACGTTACCGACACCTTCACGTCCATCCATTTTCCACTTTACAAATTATCGTTTGTTTCCCTTCTTTTTCCTTTTCTTTTTCTCTCGCTCTTTTTCTTTGCTTATTTTACTTTTCTTTTCTTCTCTAGTTCCTCTTGTTCTTTTCCTTGTCTTTTTTTTCTTTTTTCTTTCTTTTTTTTTTTTCTTTTTTTTTTCTTCTACATAACCACCCCAAACAACAACATCCCCTTGAACTCTCTTATGTATTTAAAGTGGCATACGATTAGCGTGTCGTGCAATTTCAATGTGCTTTCAGTCGTATTCATTTTCCACATAAATACATACATACGTACACATGTTAATGTATACATAGATACATATATAAATACTTACATGATTATATATATATATATATATATATATATATATATATACTTATATGTAACACTCGTCGGAGTTATATTCGCAAACGGATGGATACGATATAATTCTGCTTACACGCGATACTAACGAGCTAGGGACTATGCTAGTGAATAGTAAGTGTAACCACAATGTTCGCATCAACCTATTAGAGCGTACTCTGTGTCACGCTTTAATGCTTATCATTGAACATGTGTCTTGGTTTAGCTAAAACAATTATCTCTACCTATCTCGAAATCTATGCACCTAAGATTATCTTATTATATATTATTATTATAATAATTATTATTATTATTATATCGTTCAAAACAATTATGCTCCATTATTATTACCATCATAATCTAAATCTTAATATACAATTTGTAATTATTTTTAAATATTGATATTAATTATATTTAATTATTTTTATCTCTAATTTCTTAACTTCCTCTGAATTTGAATGTATATATATATATATGTATATACATGTATTTTTAATTATCATTCATTTTGATAATTTAATTTCTCAGACATATATAATAATTCTAAATTCTAATATAAAAATTTGTAATTATTTTTGCAAAAAGGAAAGAAAAGATTAAGGAAAAAACAATGTGTGCGTATGTGTGTGTATGTGTGTGTGTATATAAAAATAACATATAAAAATTTTAATTGAAGAAAAAAGTAATAAAATAATATATATATATATACATATTATTTTATATATATGTAATGATATGTCAATATACAAATTTCTAATAAAAACATAAATAATCATAATTATTATTAATATAAAATTATAATAATGAAACATGAAATATTAGATACGAATTAACATTACGTATAATAACGTATATATATATATATATATATATATATATATATATATACGAATAATTAATATTAGTTACATTATTTGTTACAGGTGGATGCCCCGCTCCGCCATGAGGCCGGCCGAGGGCGACACATCGGATTGCATATTAGTTGTCGGTATTTCAAGGCCAAAGATGGCCGCGGCATTTCTCTCGGTCGCCCTATTGTCCCTCTTCCTAACATTCCACGTACTTTATGACAGCGCAGTTTACAGTTTACACGCAGCCTCGGCAGTAGAAGGACGTGCGGTTGAATTGGTATCCCAGGTTCGTGCAACCCCACCACTTTTGTTCTCCAGTAAGGTCCATTATCCGCGTACGAGCCGTCATTTACCACAAGCTATCATTATTGGCGTGAGGAAATGTGGAACGAGGGCGTTGTTAGAGATGCTTTACCTTCATCCACAAATACAAAAGGCATCCGGCGAGGTACATTTCTTTGATCGTGACGATAATTACGGGAAGGGACTCGAATGGTATCGTAGGAAAATGCCCTATTCCTTTAAAGGTCAAATTACCATCGAGAAGAGCCCAAGTTATTTCGTTACGCCAGAGGTAAGAATTTCCCGTTAATGTTTTCTTTTTCCTTTTTTTTTTTCTTTTTTTTTTTTTTTATCATTACGAAAGACGTTCTCTTTTTTCTTTTTTCCATTTTATTTTTTTCTTATCAAAACTTATCACCGAGGATACTTCATTTGCTCTTGTTTTACCTTTTTTTATTTTCCTTTTTCTTTGTAATTCGGAATGGAATATATATATATATATATATATGTTTTGTGTTTATTTCAAGATTAATCTTAAACAAAATTTCTAAAAACAGAAAAAAAAGAAAGAAATTTTCTAATTCAAATCCAAAAATATTAAACAAAATAAAAGAAAAAAGAAAATTCACACACACACACACATATATATATATATAAGTATATAAGTATATATATACTATACCTATATTCGTTCAAATACAATGTCTCTCTTGGTACGACCCTTTTACGTCCCAAAGGGATTAATAGTTCACTAGTAACATCGTTGTATTTTCCTCTTGCTTTATCAGCTTTTGGTTAAAACTTCTTCTTCTTCTCCTCCTCCTTCTTCTTTTTCTTTTTCTTCTTCTTCTTCTTCTTCTTCTTCTTCTTCTTCCCCCTTTCATCTATTCTGTTTCTAGGTACCAGAGAGAATACGAGCCATGAACGCCAGCGTAAAGTTATTATTGATCGTGAGAGAACCCGTTACCAGAGCCATATCGGATTACACTCAATTACGTATCCATGCTGCTACTGCTTCGACCTTGATTAGCAACAGCAATAACAACAATAATAATAATAATAACAATAACAACAACAACAACAACAACAGCAATGGCACCTCGTCGTCACGTAACAACTTTATCAACAATCAACTATCCCAACAAGTTCAGGCAACCCGTACCTTCGAGGAATTGGTGATACGTCCTGATGGTACCATCAACGAATCCTACAGGCCAGTCGCCATTTCGCTCTATCACACTTATATGCACCGTTGGTTAGAGGTATTTACAAGAGAACAAATATTGGTTGTGAACGGTGATCAATTGATCGAAGATCCAGTTCCGCAATTGAGAAGGATCGAGAATTTTCTAGGTTTAGAACCGAGAATAGGTAGGCACAATTTTTACTTCAATCACACTAAGGGCTTCTATTGTCTAAGAAACGAAACGTCGGAAAAATGTTTGAGAGAGAGCAAAGGTCGTAGACATCCAAGAGTCAGTCCGGTTGTTGTCACCAAACTTAGAAGGTTCTTCAACGAACATAATCAACGCTTTTACGAACTCGTTGGCGAAGATCTCGGCTGGCCCGAGGAATAGCCATCGTAGATATTTTCGATTTAATGTTCGTTCTTTGATTATTTACAACGTGTTCTCTCTCTCTCTCTCTCTCTCTCTCTCTCTCTCGCTCTCTCTTTTTCTTCTTTTTTTCTTCTTTCTTTTCATATTTAATTGAACGCTATCGTCTAATTGCGATAATCTAATTACGGTATATATGTATATATATATCGTATATCTGTTATCATGTTCTCTATAAGTCGTTTTATAAAAGATCAATGAAACAAAAGTCAATCCGTCTTGTCGGAGCTTTAAAATTTTTAAGATCGTAAGAGAAAGAACATCGTCATAGGTATGTATTATCTGTATGACAAAATTATAAAGCGTTCATCGATCGATTCAAAAGATGTAATTTCTCGCTGGCGAGGAAAAAAAAACGAACGCTGTAAATAAATAATACTTATCGTGTGACGATAGTTATCGAACGATCTCGTTGATCGTAAACGAGAGTACGTGATAAGTTTCGAGAGAAAAAAAAAAAAAAAAAAAAAAGAAAAGAGAGGAATCTCCGATTCGAAGATGGACGACATCACGTGACCGTATTCACGTGACCAATCTATAGAGCCACGTGACTTTTATTCCGATCCCACGAACCAGAACGGCGTTCGCCATTTTCACATTCATCCAAAGACATAATTCTAATGTGCGGCGTATCTGATCGTCACGTTGACAAAATGAGATTCTTTTTCTTTCCTTTTCTTTTTTTTTTTTTGATTGATAATTTGAAAAAAGAAAAAAGGAAAAATAATGAATCGCATCGAGTTCATTCTAAAAAGAAACTAGCCAAACTAATTAATTAACATACATGGTTATGTTGTACGAGAAGATTCCGACAAGATGGACGACACGTCACGTGACCAAATAAACCATATGATTCGGACGCCATAATGACGTCCATCTTAACGTTCATTCAGACCATGACGTAGTGGACTTTTTTTCATTGATTAATTCAATAAAAAGAAAAAAAGAAAAGAAAAACAGGAAAAACGAAAAAGATCAAAGAAAAAGTGGGAGAGAGAGAGAGAGAGAGAAAGAGAAAGATAGAGATATAGAGTGAAAGAGAAAGAGAGAAACGTAATTTTTAATCAAGAACGAACGTTGGGGTCAGGATTAAATACTTCCATCATACTTTGACATTGGTGGTATCAAAAAGAAAAGAAAAAAAAAAAGAAGAAAAGAGAAAGAAAAAAAAGAAACAATACGGTGCTAATGTACTTCCTACGATGATCCTTCGAATATTTTTATTTTTCTTTTTCATCTTTTTTTCTTTTTTTTTTTTTTTTTGTTCTCTCCTTTACACTTCTCCAACCGAGCGTATATAAATACGATTAATATTGAAGGATTGAAAGTGTTCGTCACGATTTCGTGTTCGATTCAGAGATTTCATATAATTTTTCTACATCACTATCACCCCATCCCTCAATATGCATATCATTTCTTCCTTATCACACGCTTACATCTTTCCACGATCGTTTCAAAAATTAACACTTAAATGAATTTAATTTAATTGAAATCGTATTACTCTGTTAATGCATTACATTTTCGCGAAATTTTTCAATCGGGAATGATTAATTATTGGTAAAAGAAAAAAAGAAAAGAAACAAATTACGAATAGGGGATTGCTGCAGTTGGAGGAAAAAAAAAGAAGAAAACAAAAAAAAAAGAAAAGAGAACAAAAATTATATATATATATATATATATATATATATATATATATTTAGTTAGAAAACGATTGAGGATTAAAATTGTGAGTGGCTCGTTTGAGAAACTTGTTAAAAGCTGTAGAACACGCGCCGTTAAATCGAGGATATGCGATTTAACTAATCTGGGAAACTGATCTAGGAAAAGCAGAAAGAGACAGAGACAGAGTTAGAGATAGAGATAGATATAGATATAGAGATGGAGTTGGAGACGGAGATGGAGAATGCTGGATAAATGGCAGCCATCTTTGCACTGGCGCCATTATTATCAGTGAATCTCGACAAATCCTCTTTCTTTCTCTCTCTCTCTCTCTCTCTCTCTGTCTGACTCCTTGACTTTCAACATGAACGAATAGCAATGAGAAAGCAAACAAAATTTTCTCTCAGTTTCGTTAAATCGTCTACGTAAATGCATAAAATAATTTCAATTGAGAACAATTAATTCCGATAAACATTTCCATATTTTTTTTCTTTTCTTTCGTTTTCCTTTCTTTTTTTTTCTTCTTTTTTTGATTTTACTCTCTCGTTTAAAAAAAAAAAACAAAAGAAACAAAAAAAAAGGAGAAAACAACGTAAACTTTGTCATTGTCCCAAATCTAATTATCTAATTTCCAAAATTTTATTTCTAATTTTTCTCTCGTAGTATGAAGGAAGAAAGAAAAAGTAAAGAAAAAAGAAAAGATTTTGTTCGTTGATCAGAATTTTTTCTATTTTTAAGAAATGCTTCTAATCTTTTTTTCTTTTTCTTTTTTCTTTTTTTTTTTTTTTTCTTTTTATCAGGAAAAAAATAACTCGTAGATATATATACGGTGTACATGGAATTACGAAAGCTTATTTTCACCAGTTTAACACAACACAATAACGTCTTCTTCCATATTTTCCGCACCCTTTCTTTTCTCCTCGCATATACATATATATATATATATATATATATATATATATATATATATATATATTTAACAGACACACACATATATATATTTATACGTGGTGTATACTCTGAATCGAGCACAATATGGCGAACGCTATACATACATACATACATACATACGTGCATACATAAATACATACGTGCATACATACATATATACGTGCATACATAAATACATACGTGCATACATACATAAATACATACATATATGTAACATAAATACATAATATAAAACTGTTGCGTCGCGTTGCTTCGGCTCGATCGATTTTTTTTTTGTACCTCTCATGCAACAGAAGCAACGATATCCGATCGATATGCTCTCTGTTTTACTACTCGTTTTCTTCTCACGTGACTGCCCCATTAACGAGAACGGGTTAGAAAGGAATAAGGAAAGTAAATGTGTATTTAAAAGGAGGAAAAAGGAAAAAAGACAGAGAGAGAGAGAGAGAGAGAAAGAGAGAGAGAGAGAGAGAGAGAAAGAGAGTGAAAAGAAAAGAAAAGAAAGAAAGAAACAAGGAAGGAAGGAAGGAAGGAAGGAAGAAATGAAAGGAAAAAGAAAATGAAAAGAAAAGAAAACAGGAAACAGAAAAAGCAAAAGAAAAAGAAGAATGAAGAGACTAAAAATAACAAGACACATTATTACAAAGTTCAGAGCAAAGTTCGCATCAAATACATAGTTATACACACACGCGCATATATATATATATATATACATACATACATACATACATACATACATACATGCATACATACATATATGTGTATGTAACGTATACATACACATACACGAAGTAACAGTAACGCCGGCCAAAATAAAATAGAGATACGTGAGGAGGGTAGGAGGTTAGAATGGGGGATAGGGTGTTAGGGTGAAGATTAATCGAGAGTAAATAAGAAGAAGAAAAAATAAAATCTATATATATATATGTATAATATATATATATATATATATATATATATATATATATATATATAGTAAAGAAGAGGGTTGATGATAGAAGAAGGGGATGGCGATGCCAGTAGTGTAATAGGAGCCATTGAAGAAGGAAAGTGAGAACGCAATTGGGTCGTGAAAAAAAGAAAAAAAAAAAAAATAGAATTAAATGTACGAAGTTGGTTGTTAGGTGGCGATTGTGGGTTGTTGGAAGGAATGAATGGTGGTGGTGGTGGGGGGTGGGGGAATAATATAAACGGAAAAAAAATATACATACACAAGTAGGTAACGACGTTTATATAGAAAAGATACTACATCACGTTGAGTCACATACACATACACACACACACATACATTCACATGCGCATATCTGCTCCTCCTCCTTCTATCTCTCCCACTCCCCCCAACCCCTGCACCACCACCGCCCCCAACCATGGATCACATTGATCCGTGAGAGTTTCGTATAAGGAAACGACGAATGGGAAGTACGACGAGATAAGGATGTAGAGCAGCGGGGGTGGTGGTCGGGGGTGAAAAAAAAAAAGAAAAGAGAAATAGAATTGACACGAAGGGAAAGAAAGAGAAAAGAAATAAATTGAAGAGAAAAAATAAAAAGAGACGAAGAAGAAGATGATAGTGTGTAGGAAAAGGAGGAGGAGGAGGAAGTGGTGGTAGAGAAAGAGGTGGTGGTGATTAATGGGGGAGGTGAACAGGGGAGAAGGAGGTGAGAAAAAGTAAATAAGTAAGTAAGTAAATGATTAAGTAAGTAAATAAAGTAAATTAAATTTAAATAAGTAAGAAAAAATAGAAGGAACATATCAATAGGTTTATATAAATCTAGTCAAGATATATTACGTATAGATATTAAGGAAAGATTTAATATTTTTATAATCCACATTGGAAGTTGTTATATCGTGTCGTTAAGGTGTATGTATGTAATTGTATTTAACAAATATGGCCGTTCGGACCATCATGGCGAGAGTCTAGTTTCGAACGAAAACAGAAATAGAAACAAACATACAAACATACAAACAAACGAACAAACGAAGAAATAAACAAATAAGCATACAAACAAGCAAATAAACTGAGATAGATAGGAGAGAGATAGAGAGAGATAGAGAGAGATAGAGAGTGAGAGAGAGAGAGAGAGAAAATTACTACTGCAACAATAACGAAAAGAAGGATTTAAAATGGACAATTCTTTTTTCTCCATTTTTTTTTCTTTTTTTTTTTTTTTTATTTCAGACGATCACACTCTACTTTTTGTTTATCCTCGATCATGTGTTAAGATCAATAAAATCTTATTGTGTTATGCATTTCTCAAAATGGCCGTTCATGGACCATCATTGTTGGACCATCAAGTTTTGTTGCCAATGAAAAAAGGAAAAAAAAAAAAAAAGAAAAAGGATAACAAACGAACGAACAAACAGAATTGAAAATTCTGTTTTTAATGAAATATATGTTTTAGATATTCTTTTTTTTCTCTTCCTTTTTTTCTTTTCTCTTTTTTTTTTTTTTCTTATTCCTCGAAACGATCATTTTCTTCTTCGACCAATCACAGATATATACATATATATATATATATCGCTTTAGAATCCAATGTAAATCTTGGAGGAAAGACCATCGATGTGTTTTCGTTCGAATGGCTGAAAGCTTATATCGTGAATGGGATATCTCTTCACGCAAGGGAGAAAAAGACAGAAAAAGAAAGAGAAGGGGAGAGAGAGAGAGAGAGAGAAAGAGAGAGACGATTCTTACGGTCTGACACACGAGATTGGAGCAAAAGGATATCGATAAAAAGAGAGAAAGAGAGAGACAGGGAAAGAGATGAAAGTAGAAAAGAGAAAGAATGCTGACGATTCTTCTCGAAAAAGTACGACGAGAATCGGTCCCGTACGTACATCACCAGAAGAAAGGGAGAATAAAACCGCGGAAGATAAAGTTGACCATTCGTCTTTTAAAAAAAAAAAAAAAAAAAAAAAAAAGCCCGCGTCTCGATTCCCAAAGCCTCGGAAAATCCAAAACCGATTTTTATACTTGCAACAATAATGCCGATCTTCTCTACCTTCAACTAATATTCATACCTATTTTATTTTTATTTTATTTAATTTTTTTTTTTCTTTTCTTTCTTTTTTTCGTACGTTCGTACGAATATTGCTTTTTATTTTATTTCATTTGATTTTTTTCTTTTAATTTTTCCTTCTTTTTCATTTTTTTTTTTTTCTTTTTTTCAACTGATAACAACTTCTGAGAAAATAAAGCAAAAAAATAAAACGAATAGAAAATTATCGATTAATCCATATATATATATATATATATATATATATATATATATAAATATTTTGTCGTTGTTGTTGTTGAGATTCATTTTATCTTGTTTTTATTTTATTTTATTTAATTTTATTTATGCATCTAGTTTGTTTAAAATTCATTTGAAATAATAAAATAATGTTTGATTAAGTTGATTTTGAAGTTAAAATCATACTGATAGATATTATATTTATTTATCCATTTTGTTATTTAGTTTTAACTGAGAGTATTTACTGAGAAGAAAGAAAGAAAAAGAACAAAAAAAAAAAAGAAAAAAATAAGATGAAAAAGAAAACAAAGAAAAAGAAGAACAAAGTATTATTTTATTTAAATTAAATGTTATATCAATTATATTATTATCTTTTCATTTTTTTTTATATATATATATTTTATTTTATATATATATATATATATATATATATATATATATATTATTGTTAGTAATCTGAAATTAATAATCTGAAATAAACGAATATCTTGATAATAAATATTTCTAGGAAATTTCTTTATCAGGCGATTAATTTCCGATTACTATATTAAAAAACGATATTATTATTATTAGTATTATTATTATTATTATTATTATTATTATTATTATTATTAATATCATTATTATTATTAATATTATTATCCGTTATTGTTATTATTATTTGATTTTTATTTTTCATTTTATAATAACACGAGAATAATATAAATCAAAATCTTCGATATATAAATATTTGTATGAAATATTTATTGACCGATTAATTAAATGAAAATATTGTCGATACAACTCTTTCTCTCCGATTATACAATATATCGTAACGCATACATTTTTATTTTTATTCTTTTCGTTTGTTAATTTATTTTCTCTTTTTCATTCGACACACATCATAATTTTACTCACTCGCCGTTATATTTGTGTAAAATAAAAAAAAGAAAAAAAAGAAAAAGATCCTTTTTCGAATAAAAAAAAAAGGAAAAAAAAAAGCGGAAAGAAAAAAAAAAGAACAAAAAAAAACAAGAAAAAGAAGAAAAGAAAAACGAATAGAAAATTAGTTTCATTTTTCAAGTCAACTTAGATATATTACTAATCCCTGACGTCGTCTATCTAGTAACTTTTGACGTCACCAATTTTTGAACGACTCGTCATGACGGTCCTTTGGAAAAAAAGAGACGATTCTCTCACTTTCTCTCTCTCTCTCTTTCTCTCTCTCACTCACTCATCCCCTTCACTCGCTTACTTTTTCTCTCTCTCTCTCTCT